GACGCCTGACAGATGGACGGACGAGGCGTCAAGGCATAAGCTCTTCGTGCGATGGGAGCTAAAAACAATAAAAAAAAAATATCATCCAATATAATAAAAGAGGCCAAAGGGGTCTGTATTGCTTACCTGGATATTTAAGTAATAATTTACATGCACATCTTTCAGTTCTTCAGAAGAAGTCATTTGAAATGTTTGATATATTTGACCCCTGTGATCTTTAAAGTACATCAAGGTGATTTTTAATTAAAAACTCTGTACGACTCCATCCCTTGCAACTCTCAGCCAAATATTATGATTATATGCCTATTGGTTCACCAGCAGAAGTTTTTGAAATGTTTGACATATTTGACCCCCATGACCTTGAAAGTAGGTTGAGGTCATTTTCATTTTCAAACTTTGTCAGGCTACATCCCAGGGTGCTACTAGCAAAATAGTATGCTTGTCAGTTCTTAAAGGGACATCACCTGAAGAGCCATATTCTTTTTAATGAATGTATGTATTGTATGCACTTCACCTTATGTTACCTTGCTATCCCCATATTCATAGTCTGTTCCAAATGTCCAGTTTGACAACTTGAATTGTTCAGGAAAGCCCTGCTAAAAATAGCACCGACAACGTCACCTGACAAGGCTGTAAATACAAGTGGTCTGAGCGAAATGAAACTGTTTCCAAAGTGGCCCCCGGAGAGGGGCCGTCAGGCAACTGCAACTTCTATATAATTACCGCACTATGAAACCAAGTAATATGATTTCTTAGTCTGTACTCAAACTTATTGAACAGTAGTTATTCATCATCAGAAGTTAATAGCACACTTGCCAATATTCAGAATTTAAATTTATTTAGCTTTAAACATATTTGTTGCCAATAAAATTGAACAATGGATGGGGCACAAGTTTTTACAATTTATCACAGCCTTATCCCGTCATACATTTACAATTAAATGTCAACAATGATAATAGGCATAAACATAAAGTAGATATATATAAATATAGATTGAATTTGAACCGGAATGTGACTGGTACAGATGGTACCGGGCTAAACACCTTTCCTCAACCATGGGACAAACTTTTGTGTAAAAAGGAATATTCACGAGACGAATATCCCTTTTCAAATGTTTTCATAAAGTGCATATATGCAATGACAAACTACAGGCGTATAAAAGAGAGAAACGTTTGTGATTTTTTTTTATTACATAGTACAACTTTGGCCAATTTTTTTCCCTATACCATGCATATACTCTCTTTCCCACTTTCACTGTCTCCATACGCTAACACTTAGTAAGTCATATTAGCCATCACACACAATAAACTGTATGGAATAACCACTACGTGTACATGTAGAATATGTGTCAGATATGGAACGTGTTGAGATACTTGATAACAATTTTTTTTTTTAATACTTGACATAGATTAAAGCATTCTTGGTAATGTTAAATGTTAAGATAACTTGTTTTTTAATCATTTCATTTTTGTTCGAAACAGAAGCCGGGCAGCATGCATCATTTTTACAACGTAAACAAATGTTTTTTTCCCCTGTTAGTTAGTTTAAACATATTTTATTGTACAAATATACAAAAGGATCGGACAACAAGTTATTACAACTTAATAAAAGTCCTCTCCTAAATACATATTGTAAAAATAATGTATATGTTTTTGGGGAAAGGAAAAAAGATAGGGTGGAGAAGGAAAGGTGGGGTGGGAGGGGGTGGGGTCTTCAATACGTATTCCGATTCTATCTGAAGTCGAAAATTAATTCTTTATAGAAAAAAGGTTGTTTACATGATCATACATTCTAAGTCAACATCATATGAAAACATGAACTCTTGAAAAATTACAATTTAAACAAAAAAGGGTATGCGATCCTATTTACTAGAAGTAGGTTCTCCTTCCTCAGTTATTCATCCTGGTTCGTCATTTTGACATTTTCAATCTAGCTGCGATAACGTAGCTTTCTGACGAAGAGTGATTTTTTTATATATTGCATCGTCGCGCCACAGGAGGCCGGGTATTCATATTAGTACTAATTTAAATCTTGCATGTGAAAACAAAACAAAATCGTTTAATTCAGCAATATAATTAAATCATACCATTTTACTGAACCCGGTAATATTATAAATTATGTAAATCTAATAGCGCACGTATCTCATTTGACCCCGATCACAAGTACCGACAGAGGACAGAACAGAACACTCCGTGGCCATCACAACAGTTATCCCTTGGAGGGCCTCATGACAAAATCAAACTTACCAGTCACTTATCCCTTCCTTTCGCATAAACAACTGTAAAATTATAAAAACACAAAGTAAACTCTCTCCGATACATGCCCTAATGGGCAACTAAGTTAATCTGTATTCAAACTCAGACAAAGATACTAGTGAGGTTAATAGTTTTAGATATCTATTCATAACATAAACAGCACTAGCATTTCTGTCAATTCCATTTCAGCTTAAACTGTTAGGGCAGTTATTTTCTCCTTTTTATACTTCCCACCTGTAACTAGAACACTGACAGGTCAGTAAGGGCCCTGTCTCGTTGCAATATATCCCCAATAATCATCAAGAAGCAATCTGCCCATATACATGTAGCTGAGCATGACATCTGACATTTGGACTTCAATAATAATCGCAAGGAAGCCAAACATACATTTTACATGTACTATGATGTGAGTCTTGTTTCCTCCATATTTGCTGGGCTAACAGAAATGTAAATAACGGTGCAATACTCGTTTGTTTGCTTTGATTTGTTTTATTTCACCTTAAATACCTCCACCATCAAGAGCCAGGGTCAAAGTCAGAGATCCACTTTGTCTTTGACCTTTGGACCCAAATGACATTGACCTTTAACCTAGTGACCCTGATCTTTGGTCAGTTGACTTATTCTGTAAATCCAAGCAACTTTGCTTCATAATATCATAAAATGTTAATCAGTGAAAAATACAAAACTTGACCTTGAACCTTTGGACCCCATAACCTGGACCTTAGGTCAATTAAATCTGTGTTAAGTTCTGAACAACTTTGCTGCATAATAACATAAAAAAATTATATTCATCAGTAAAAAGATACAATATTTGACCTTGACATTGACCCAGTGACCTAGAACTTAAGTCAGTTGACTCCTTGTTAAATTCTGACCAGCCTTGCTTCATAATGTCATAGCAAAATGTTCATCAGTGAAAAGATACAAAATGTGACTGACCTTTGACCCAGTGACCTTGACCTTTGGTCAAATGACTCCTTGTTTAATTCCGATCAACATTGCTTCAAAGTGTCGTAACGAAATGTTAATCAGTGAAAATATACAAAATTTGACCATGACCTTTGACCCAGTGACCATGTCCTCTGACACGATGAACTTGACACATTTGACTCCTTGATTAATTCTGATCAACTTTGTTTCATCTAGTTATAACAAAATGTTCTTCAGTGAAAAGATGCAAAAAATGACCTTCACCTTGACCTTGTAACATAATGACCTTGACCTTTGACCTCGACTTTTTACCTCAGTGTGACTCTTTGTTTAATTCCAACCATTCATAATGTCATAAAATGCTTATTAGTGACATGCTTAACAAAAATGACCTTGACCTTTGACCTAGACCTCTGACACGGTGACCTAAACCAATGGTCAGTTGACTCTTTGTTTAATTCTAATCAACTTTAGCTTCATCATGTCATAACAAAATGTTCATCAGTGAAAAGATGTAAATTTGACCTGGACCTTTGAATTTATGACATTGACCTTTGACCTTGACTTTTTACATCAGTGTGTGTTCTTGTGAACTGAACAACTTGACTAAGTTTCATGTAAATCGGTCAACAAATACCAAAGTTATCAGCCAGGAACAAAATTTGTGGACGGACAGACAGACAGAGTGATTACTACAGGGCACCCGCATCTCCAATACGGGGCCCTCATAATGATTCTGTAACATACTCCTTGCGCTATCTTTTGACCATTTGGCAACTTTCCGCTTCGTAGCTGACACGGTACAACACTTTTCTTTTGCTTACTTCACACGGCCAGTCATTTTGTTTACAAAGAAATGGTGTGCTATATGCGCATGCGCTAGTAGAGGGAAATCCCTGAACAAAATGTTGGTCAGACAGGTAGAAATAATGATGATTATCTTAGATTTAATCATTTTATGAATCTATTTTAGCCAAATCCGATCGTTATTTTCACTTGATATGTTTATATAGTATTTGAAAAAAAAAAAAAGTTACTTCACAGTGATGCCCCTTTAAGAAGAAGTCATTTGAAGTGCTTGGCTGATTTAACCCTTGTGACCTTGAAAGTAGGTCAAAGTCATTTTCATTTGCAAACTGTTGTTCTCCATCCTAGGAAGCTTCCAGCTAAATATTAAGATTCTATACTTTTCAGTTTTAAAGAGGAAGTTGTTTGATTTTTTGACATATTTGACACCTTTGACTTTGGAAGTAGGTCAAGGTAGTTTTCATTCTAAAACTTTGTCTTGATCCTACCAATAAAAATATCACCCAAATACCATGACAGTTAGCCTTTCCATTTTCAGAAGAAGTTGTTTAAAGGAAAATTTGATAATAATATATCTATTTTCATATAATTAAAAAAAAAAAATAGAACTGTCGCCTATGGGCAAACTAATAACCCCCGCATTCCGGCTGCTTATTGCTCCTGTAAGGGCTAAAGTAACGAGGGAAAACATATATAGCAAAAACCAAGGGTCATGAAAAAGTCTAACCTCAGATGTCATACGGACAGACTGATAAAAAAGACAAACACCACTACTGTGACCTTTGATTCAATGTCCTCGTAATGTTGTCACAATGAAGCTAGTATCAATGATACATTTACTCCAAGGTATGTGTATACAAAATACCTACCATTTCTGTGATAATTAGCCATTTAAGTAACATAATGCCTCTGTGACCTTTAACCTTTGACCTTGGAAGTTTGTCATAATATAGCCTGCATAATTGGCTACGATACTCTAATGTATATATGTGTATACAAAATACCTACCATTTCCGAGATATTTAGCCATTTCAGTAATGTAATTCATTCTTGACCTTTGGACTTTGACCCCATGACCTCAGAAGTTTGTCGGAGGAGTAGCTTTCATTAATGCCTACAACATTCCAGTGTATATGTGTACACAAAATACATACCGTTTCCGAGATAATTAGCCATTTCAGTAATGTAATGTACCGTCTACAGAAGTCTAGTGCCATAACTCTGGTAAATATTGAAGAAACATAATGGCATTCTGAGAGACACATGTTCATTTGAGGTAAAACGTGTGTAAAGTGTTTTCAAAATCCATACATAAACCTAGGAGGAGTAGGAGGTACACATTTTTGTCTACAGACAGACAGACAGACAGACAGAGTGATTCCAGTATATCCCCCCCCCTAACTTTGTTGCGGGTGGTATAAATATGCCAATTTCTTTTTATCATATATAGCCTCCAAATCCAAGTTAATTTCAAAGATTCTATAAAAGTTTGGAAATTAACATTTTGAGGGTATTTTTAATCTGATTTAATATTCCATAAGAAATAATAACATTCAGCATTTAATTTTTATTAATAAAGGATTCTTCTGGGTTTGGTTAAGAAATAAAAAGGTGTTAAAATTGTGATAAATCACGACGGGACTTTATAATTTGTATTCGTCCTAAAGATGTTAAAATCCTTCTGTTCCATATCAAAGTTAAGTTTTTGGAATATTGTGCAGGTTCACAGTAAATTGGATACCTAAAAATGTAAATTTTGTAATTCCCTATAGTAAGTACCACTCTGGAAGGTATGTATCATTACTATATATTACTAGCCGATCAGCTAGCTTGTGACCAATTTAATTAGATAGAAATGATCTAATGTTAATCTGAAGGGAAACTTGAATCCTATTAATGATACAGTATGGCCTTTGTAACAGTGACATAAATATAAATCTTATTTTTAACCTGATATACATAAAATAATGTTCTACGTGACAACTCCAACATTTTCATCTCCTATGAAAGGAAGTTGTAGATTGTGCATGCACAAAGTACATTGATTTTTTTAGTGTAACTGCAGGGAGAAAGAAAAATGCATGGCCAGATGGGGGTTCGAACACGGGACCCTCTAAACTCTAGACGGATGCACTGCCAATTGAATCTGCCTATATATGGTCGCTGACTGTGGACCCAGTCCAGTTCCACTACATTATTATTATTTTTTGGGGAAATTCTTCTTAAGCTTCTGTATGAACACTGATAATTCAAAAGCTCAAATATAAATCTTATTTTTTAACCCGACATACATACAATCTTGTTCTACATGTTGATTACATACAATTTCATCTCCTATGAGGGAAATGGTAGATTGTGCATGCACAAAGTACATTGATTTTTTTGTTATTATTATTTTTTGGAAATTATTCTTCTCTATTACTTTGAAATATTAAAAATCATCGCAATGGACAAGCTTGGCAGATTTAACAAAAAGATGAAGTATTTTCTATATTGGACTAAAAGCAGTGTCAACAACATAACAAATTCAAGCTTTTACAATTAAATGGACAAACACAAAACCTAATAACCTAATGTGTATAGCTAGTTGGCTGTAGGTGTACATGTATGTAGTTTTTTTCCTATATTCGTATTAGTTTCCGAGATGCACAAATCATTCTGGTCTGTCAAATCATTAGTACTACAAGTAGCCTTGCTCATGTCCGCGAATTTGAAAAAATGTTGGGATTACTATTCAAACACGTGATTGTGGCAGCTTTAATGAACACTGGTTAATGATAGTTTTTAGTATAATGACATGTTTTTTAGAGCTGACAAGTACTAGGGACAAATGTATCAACTACTTTCGTTTTCTGTACACGTACTGAAGTAAAAGTATGACAGCATTTAAAATATTGATTACTGTCAATACAAAGTTCGAGTCTGTTTAATGGAAGATAAAACCGATACTAACAACACTGTTACACATATTACTCACCGTGCGAACTTAAGATATGATAATTAAGGCGCAGAAAGGTCGGTGTTTTTAAGACACAATACGTTCTTCCTTGTCCCCTCCTTGTCGGATGTTGCCTATACACCTATAAGCAAAGAATCGGAACTGCGGCATAAACGTTCCGGAATTTTAAAGGTTGGTGCCAGTGGCGTAGCATACATACATGCTTGTATACCCAAGCATACACTTACTTTTCTTTCAATCATGCATTTTTATTAAAATGTATTTACATGATTAGTAAGGACCGTCCGTATCAATCATAAAAAAGGAAAAAGGAAAAACAATATTCTGAAAAATTTTAGTCTGATAAAATAGTGTTGTTATGTCTATACACATCGAAAAATTTCGAAGGTTTATGCAGAATTCTAACTAAAAAAAATACTAACTGAAGTAGAAGATTTAATATTATTCATTTAAAAAGTCGCGTTTTACTTGTTAATAATCAGACTAAAAGGACTTCCCAGAATACGAGAGGATTATTTCTGGGGCCTAGTAGAATTTTTCTTTTCATCCTCTACCCCCTGCAGCGCTATGCGCCTCGGACGCTCGACCCCCTATAAGCACACACTTCGAAAAATGATTTGCTGCGCCAATCACGGCTAAGGTGAATAAAGGATAATTTCACAAATTCGTATATATTTACAGAAACTGTTTACTTTATCTTAACATATTTATATTTAGGATCAGGTATGTTTTAATATATATATTTATTTATTTTGTATTCCGTGTATCCGACGTCTGTAATGGCCCGCCATGTACTTGTACATAGTGTACGTCAACGCAGTGAAACCCAAAAACTTTCTATTTTTTAATATTGTTGTTATCTTTCAAGTTTGACCATTTTGCAGACAGCACAAACGCAGACGTATATATTACAGAGTGGCTTTATATGTCTCTGGCACAAAGCTGTGTGTATAATGTTAACTCACATTTATATTCCAGTGGCTCACAAAGCTGTGTGTATAATGTTAACTCACATTTATATTCCAGTGGCTCACAAAGCTGTGTGAATAATGTTAACTCACATTTATATTCCAGTGGCTCACAGAGCTGTGTGCATAATGTTAACTCACATTTATATTACTGTGGCTCACAAAGCTGTGTGTATAATGTTAACTCACATTTATATTCCAGTGGCTCATAATAATTTTGATAAGACTATTATCTTTGTTAATTCTTATAACGTGTAATTTCGATTTCAATATTTTGGAGCGATTTAATTTTCGTGGTTTAACAACCTCGGAATGCTGATAATTAACGGAAGGGATGTAACTCGTATAAATAAAATGGTCTGTTTTAATTCAGGCTCCTGGTCAAAATAAAACATTAAGAGAACAAAATTTTGCATTGATCGTTTTATAGAAACTTCAATAAATCGTATTTAACTATGTTTACACCGGTACACGTATCTTATCTATAATATGTACCTCTACATTTTACAAATATTGTGCATTAACGTTACCGTTCAAAAAGATGCGCTTATGTCTAGCTGCAGGTATACATTCACATTCATTCGAAAATATGTTAAAGTCTTAGAGGTTTGGATAAAATAATGACAATGTCAATACTTAAAGAATATGGAATATGGGTCACCCGACTCGTTCTGAAACGACGGGAACGATTATGACAGTACAACCTGCTACCACCCCGTCCCTATCTTTCCGTCATATCCCATTCAAAAACACTCAATATTTCTCCTTTAAACTTTATTGATTTTGCAACTAGAAATGTGAGCCACTGGCTTACTAGTACATCCCTATGGTGGCATATTCCTGCCATCCACTTGCGACTTACGAGTTAAGATGTCGACATAACTTTTAAATTATGTCGACATATTATCACATTTCCGAGATAATTTTGCCGAGATAATTATCTCGTAAGTGGATAACTCGGCTTTTTATCGTGTTAATGCTCGAGTGTGACATCGACTTGCCACTTACGACATAATTTAAAAGTTATGTCGACATCTTGTCAGATTATGTCGACATATTCTCAGATTATGTCGACATCTTTCGATAATTATGTCGACATACGTAACTCGTAAGTCGCATGTGGATGGCAGAAATATGCCACCATACATCCCGAACCTCACATATCTTTTGAAGTTAAAAAAAATATTTGCAATGTACACCTGTATAAGATTATGGTGGTGAGTATCAAGTCCATAGATATAGGTGTACAAAACATTAAAAGAGAAGGGCTGTCATTCCATAAAAAATGCATAATAATGGATTTTTTTTTACAGATGCACAATGACAGGGGTTACTTATCATAGGCATCAAGTTTCGTTGAAATTGACCTACAATATAAGGAGGAGTTGTCTGGACAATATTTTTTCCGATTTTTAGAAAGGGCCATAACTCATTAAAACCTCAGGGTTTGGTAACCGTATTTGTGAAGTCTAATTTAATTAGGTACAAGTGTAGAGATTGTTGAAACATTGATGATTATCAACAACCCGAATTGTTAGGTTTTAGTGAACTAATATTAAGTACACGGTACTAACCACGTCACACGGACAGGTCCCCGTCATTGGTACATGTATCTGCTAGATGAGTGACATAGTTTTGTCACATTGAATCATCAATATATACATTTAACATCGGTAAAATGGTTCAGACGGTAACAATAAAGATAACTATTTACTCAAACCACGAACTTAACCCAGAAATACATTGTATTTGAAGGAAGACAAAAGACAGTTCGGAAGGGAAGGGGGCTGGGCCGTTTTATCTTGAAAAGCGGTTGCGGGTGTATCTTGTTTAAATATTTAATATTATTCATGAAACCGTTCCCATGCTCAAGCATGGATTTTGTGCTCAAATTAAATTTCTTGTATCTAACTCAATTCATGTAAATCAATTAAAAGTAAAATGTGAGCATTAATCAAAGTACTGTAAGTACTGTAGGAAGCGTTAGTCAGATGTAAAAGGTGAATTTTTAAATAAACCAATTATAGATTCAAGAGCAAGTCCTTATTTTCAAACTTAGAACTACTAACCATCAACGTTACCCGCTTATCAAACACTGGAACTTCAGATAAATTTCAACTGGAACTGTCGCCAGGATGGCTGACTTATATCACCGCTCCCCATCCAGTCTGATTCCAACTCTGGCCCAAACACTTGTTAATATTAAAATATAAAAAGGGGAAAATAGCAGATCAAACAGTAATTAAAGTTGCACATCTTCCGTGTACATGTGTGCTGAGTACATAAATTTCGAGAAGTTTGCATAAAAACTGTTGGAAGAGTCGTTCGGACAAGATTCAGTCTACAAACATATAGGAAAGGGACATAACTGCCATAAAATTGTTGAATAAAAAAAACAAAAAGTGCACCTGCACAACTTCAGTGTTGGCTGACTACATCAGTGAAGTTTCGAAATGTTTGGATGAAAACTGAAGTAGAAGTTGTCTAGAAAAGATTGTGTCTACAAACATAGGAAAAGGGGCATAACTGTCATAATAATACACAGATCAAAACCGAAAGCGCAAGTACAGAACATCAGTGTGCACAGACTACATCAGTGAAGTTTCGAAAATGAAGTCGTTGAAGGTAATTTTGCACTCTTGTTCAGCAAGTCTGACTCATACAAAATGGCGAAATGGAGATAATAGAATAATTTAATTTCTGATATACGCATGTTCATATTGTACATAATAAAATTACCGATAAAAAAGTTATGCTTTATTTGTGGTTGACTGTTATGAGAACTATTTTTCTTGTAGTGAAACGGTTGTCCTCATTTGTAACTACTATTTCGCAGTTGTCTCCCTTCCAACAGTATTTTTATGAAGTTACTGTAGAGTGTGCAGAACCCATCGGTGCATGGTGGCAATAAGACGGACAGCATTTCGAAAACGGTAAAAAAAATAAAAAGCAGTTGAGTAAAGTGATTGGATATTTTCTGACACACTGCCAACTGAAAGTCGTCCGAGCCGAGACTGAAGATAGACCTGAACCACAGTGAAATCTATATGACTCTACCAAGGCAGTTAACTCCAGGAATTTGTTCAGCTGCATTCACACTATCTGGGATATGTTCTGCCTTAAAAAAATGTTGACGCAACGAAGCACTAATGCTCTAAGCAAAGCCAGGACTGTAACAGACTTTGTTATTATGGAATTAATAATTACCACAACAAGTGTATTGCCACATCGGAACAATACTATCTTATTTTTATGTTTCTCACTCCTTACGATAACAGCAATTTATATTGGAAAAGATAAAATATGCTCCAAGTCCGTTACCGTTCCTGACCGAGCTAAAAGTAAATAGCTGCAAATCTGAATTGGTAATCCCAAATTTTGGACAATGTTATATTATTGTCATTAGGCATACCATTTGTTCTCTCATGTAGATTCATCACCTATAGGCCTAGCTCAGGTGTCCATTTGTACTGGCTCCTCCTGTCCCTAGTCATTCGCTGTCTCAGGTTGATCGGCGAATTTAGCTAGTCTTCGCCTCTTCCTCTGCCTTGTCGCCCTCGTTTGGACTCTTCATTACGTTTAATTTTTATATACCGGCATCGTGGAGGATATTCTATATATCAACTGGACCCACTAAATTTTTAAATTGTATTGAATTTCGGTGCACAATGACACTGCGTATGTTAAGCACCGCCTAAATCAATTATTTGGCATTTCAACAAGGGAGGTAATTCGTTCATGCAAACCTCGTTAATGACTGGCATTAATATTAACTTCTCAACTTATCCATTCTGTCTTTCATCAGATTGCATACGGCTACAGACAATGGCAGGTGACCATTAAACAATTATAGCTGATAACACTTCATTCCTGTATGTCAATGTTTCTTTTGGTTTCTTATAGTGTTTTTCTCTAAAAAAAAACGTGTGATACTCTAAATATTTTCAGGAAAACGTCGCAAATAAATTATTAGTATTCCAAACCAGTCTGTCCCAGGTTAAGCTACTTCACACTGACTATTGAGGTAGACAACACATCCTGTCTTTCTGTGTTATATCTTCTTTTGATGTAAAGAAAGTTTTCTACATCATTAATCATTCTTCTGTAGTGTAAAGTAAACTGCTTACATTATAGACTAGATTGCTGTAGTCTGAGAAATAGAGAAATGTAACAAAATTTAACTCTCAAACTTATCTGATCAGTCTCAATATACCCCCTCTTGTACCTTCTTGGAAATAGCGCAAAAAGAATTGTTCAAGGAAGGAGGGACGTACGAACCACGGACGAAAGGTAATTTGAATAGCTTACCATCTGATGATGGGCTAAAATAGCGACAGCAAATTTTAATTGTCAAATACCAAACGTCTATTTCGCGGCAATCTTTTTATTCCGGTAAGTCTCAAAATGAAACATTAACAACTACAAAAGGAAACCTTCATATGGAATTTGAGATAAGTGTTTCTGGTACATTTTAAGAAAAGGCGACGACAAGAATTTATTTAAGGACGAGCAACGGACCATGGACGAATGGCGATTGGAACTGCCCATCATTTGATAATCGTCAGTTAAAAAACACAATACAAAAAGATGAGTTAAGAGTAAATTTACTTGTAAAGCAAACCATAATTGCAATTCAAATGATTATTGTTTCTTTTACTGAAACAAAATTATTGTTTTCCTTTTTTTCAAACAGCTTTAGTATTATTTATCATAATTGAAAAAAAGGAAGACAATATCACATTTTTTCTGGCTGTTAGTACCAAACATACCAAGCAAAGAAATTAAGTGACAACCGTTAACAACTTCATTGTAAGAAGCTTTTAATCAAACTACAATGAAAAATATTTTCGTTTCTGGGTTATCTACGGAACACAAAATGTCTAGTGTTTAAAGTCTTTAATATAGGTTTTACGCACATTGTTCCAACCATTGATACGATAAACATCATAACAGTCCATCCTTGGTAAAGTGTCGCTCTACTGGAATTTAAATACAGATTCATCATTGAAATCAATGGGTCCCGCTCTAGACACCAGTGACTTCTCCGTATCCTTTTAAACATGTCATAACAAAACCGAATGTTCGCGGTAAGGTTTTGGTAAAGTTAAAGGTAAAGTTATTGATACGGGAATAGATTTGTACATAAACGAGACGAGTTGTAACTCACTTAATAGAGCTGAAACAAGCGGACGAAGTTAGTATCTTCCGCAGTGAGTACAAACATGTCACCACAAACAGCAATTGCAAAGGGACGGTTTATTCCGTCAGATGACGTCAGCAGTTTCCTGACGTGCGTCCCGTTCCCAGACATCTGCACGACGTTGTTTGTGGCAAAGCCACACACGTAGATGTTGCTCTCTCTATCAACGCTTAAACCAGCAGCATTACTCACGAGACCGGCTTTTATCACATCCTTGAGATGCTGGTCAGTCGACAGTCTGGACAGCACTGCTTTGCTTTTAACAGTAGTGTGACAACTGACCAGTATGTCTTCATTTGTTGGGTCATGTGAGAGGAATAAACACCTACAACTATACTGATGTAACAGCTCAGCGGCGAAGTCCTGTGTTACACTGTACACTTCTGCTTCTTCTGTGTCTGTACAAACGACAAATCTTCCGTTGATATGGGTTATACCATTTAGGCCTTTATCATCTGGCATACGGATCTCAAATGAAAGCGATAGTTTTGAGTTTTCGACTTTCACGACATGGACACCACCAGGACTGCTAACTGCCACAGCCACTGTGTTGGCATTCACAAAACACATATCATTGGGACTTCCGTGAATGATCAACTCATCCAGGTACTGTCCTTTATCTGTAAACAGCTTCAGTTTCTTGTTGTTATCATCACTCACCACTATTTGATTATTCGGAAGGTACACAACGCCAACTGCATCACAATCATACTCATCTGATGTAATTTTTATATCAACCTGTTGTACTTCTCTCACGCGACGCCCGGACATTGGTGATGTAAGGTAACCATGACTCTCAGGAAAACGTCGTGGTGGTTTCTCAATGACTATTTTCCCCATAGCGTCATCACCAATGATTCCAAGTTCGAGTTTGGTCTGATGCTTAACATTGACGGACGTGAAAGATTCGTTCATCTCCGTGACCAGAGCCTTACACGACTCCACTTCTGCCTTCCCTCTCTGATACAACACTATCGTTTCAGAGTTTTCGTTTCCCTCTGTAGCTTTAATGGACGACTTCAAGCTATTTCGCATACTATTCTTTAGACGTTCGCATTGCCGTAAGGAGTCGTCTAATTTACTTTTTTCGTCTTTGAACAATGCGATCAACTTGTTTGTGCAGTCCTTCTGAAGGTCGTCAAGCCGTTTGTCGACCCTATGACGTAAATCTGTAATACTCTGTAAGGCGATTTCCTGGCTCTTTACCATGTCTTGTAGCTGTTCGTCAAAGTCCTTCACTAAAGAGTTCATGACCTCTGCTCCTTTCTTCAGTGCTGCATGCATATTTGTCAGTTGTGATCCTGCTTTTAGCTTCTGAATATATTCTGTGGCTGTTGTCACTGCTTCACAACGTCTGTGGTCTTTTAAAACGCATATGTTACAACCGAGCAGTTTGTGATCCTCACAATACCAAACCATATTCTCGTCGTGTTGGTCACAGTGAGGAACAGCCGGGTTCTGTTTTTGTCTATTGTTGTCGTGCCTGGTAATATCTAATATATCACATCCAATATGTACGACATCGTGGTGATCAACTCTACAAGTCCCACAGAAACCGGATTCATTTTTTTTACACCAGAACTTGGCAGGATTGGACGGATTGCCTTTTGTTTGACAAGATGTGCAGTACAGTGGTCCAGACGACTGTTCCTTAAGCTTGATAAGTTCTTGGATCACACCATTTGTTGGGAACTGTTTAGCCCAGTTTTCCTTGCTTTCCGCTTGATTGACAGGCGTGGCCATCCCTCTACAAACTGGACACGGAAAGGATGTCCAAGACGCCATCTTACCAGACAGTTCCTTGGTGATGTAGGTCCCAAGACAATCTTGACAGAAGCAGTGGAGACAGGGTAAAGACTTTGGTTGTCGAAGTCGCTCCAGACAGATTGGACACTCCAGTAAGTGTAAGTCTAGATCCGGAAGGGGTCCGCTTTCAGCCATTATGATGATCAGCTTGGTTCAACTTTTACCTGAAAAATGTAGATATGCATACGAATTGATTTATATAAAACTGATTGTCTCCTTATCTAAATAATGTTACTTATGTAAATAACAGTTTTATGTACGATGCATGTGTTACACATTGTGTTCTGTGAAATGATATGTAAAAAATGTCAATTATACCATAATCATGTTGGTGCACAAAGAGACGAAATATAAAACTTAAAACATTATAAGATACGGTTGTGATTTCAAAGTATCTTCGAGTTTACTTATTATGTACAGCTAGAGTTTCATAATAAGATGTTGTCACCATTTTGAATATAACAAAATGTACACATTACCAAAATTTAACATAGTATTGAGAGTAACAATGAAAACAACAAGTTATTCCAAAGAATACTGTCAATCAGGCATCTTGTAAAAAGCATTTGTTGTCGATATCACACGATATCAATCAGACATTATTTACAAATTTGAGTTTCCTTTGTCCAAAAATGCTCCCGACCAAATATCGTCAGAATCTAATCTGACGTTATGGACTAATACGGTGGAATTGTTTATANTGTAAGTCTAGATCCGGAAGGGGTCCGCTTTCAGCCATTATGATGATCAGCTTGGTTCAACTTTTACCTGAAAAATGTAGATATGCATACGAATTGATTTATATAAAACTGATTGTCTCCTTATCTAAATAATGTTACTTATGTAAATAACAGTTTTATGTACGATGCATGTGTTACACATTGTGTTCTGTGAAATGATATGTAAAAAATGTCAATTATACCATAATCATGTTGGTGCACAAAGAGACGAAATATAAAACTTAAAACATTATAAGATACGGTTGTGATTTCAAAGTATCTTCGAGTTTACTTATTATGTACAGCTAGAGTTTCATAATAAGATGTTGTCACCATTTTGAATATAACAAAATGTACACATTACCAAAATTTAACATAGTATTGAGAGTAACAATGAAAACAACAAGTTATTCCAAAGAATACTGTCAATCAGGCATCTTGTAAAAAGCATTTGTTGTCGATATCACACGATATCAATCAGACATTATTTACAAATTTGAGTTTCCTTTGTCCAAAAATGCTCCCGACCAAATATCGTCAGAATCTAATCTGACGTTATGGACTAATACGGTGGAATTGTTTATATCCACCATATAATACCAGAGTAGAAGTGGCATTAACAAATATGGGCTAATTATTACTTTAGCGCTACCCCTCAGCCCCATTGGGTTCAAACTCTGAACTTGTACAATTCTTAATCCTCACCACCTGAGTATGCTTCCAATCAAATTTAGTTGATATATGAATTTCTTAATTATAAACATGCCGCTGAAAGCAATGTGGCAAAATAGCCTTTTTAGATATATTAATTTCTCAATTCTAAAAAAATATGTCGCTGAAACCAATCTGGCAATTCAGGTCAACCCCAACAATAATAACATTTTGAATCCCTACCACCTCCAGATGTTCCAGTCTAATTTGGTTAAATTCCAATCAGCTATTCAGACACAGAAAACCTTTGAAGAAATATTTGACAGATGGACGACATATTCCACGGTATTTCATTAGCTCATCGTTGTCTTTTGGAACATGTGAGCTAATATTACTGTATTAAAGTAAAATTCGTGATACTTGAGTATTAAAGTTCATCATGATATTTGATTCTAATCTATCTATCAGATTATAAAGAAGAAGACTGTTTAAATTTTAGCTAACGTGACCTTTTTTGGCCCCTTCATTCAGACCTCAGCAATTTGTGACGGTTGGTTTGCCTTTAATCACAGAATCTTCATTGTATTTAAAAAAGATGAGTGATATTGGAGAAGTTCAAAATGAAAATTGTGTACACACTGAAGGTGATGGTTCCTATCCCTACAACCAAATGCAATCTTCATATGCCTCTTGGTAATTAAAAAGTTGTTAAAAGGTTTTAACACCTTTTACCAATTTGACCTTGGAAAGTAGGTAAGTTCTTTATCCCAGAATACAAATGGACAAACATCATCATCATCTAAGGCCTCTTGGTTATTCCAACAATGGTATTTAAAGGTTTCACTAAGTTTAACCCATTGCCACCTTGTTCAAAGTTGTTGTATCACTCATTCAAGCAACTACTGGCCACAAATCAGCTTTCAGCTCCTCGTGAAAAGATTTTTTTTACAAGCTATGGCTTTCTGACCAATAGTTAACTTTTTAATTTTTTGGTTCATAATACATACCTTTGACGTTGAATATAAGACTGTTATTTATAAAATAACAAGAGGCCCAAAGGGCCTGCATCGCTCACCTGGTAATAATATCACACTTGTAATCGTAAAAGTGGACTTAAATACAGCTACAGGCAGAATATCAGTGTTTGATTCATAAGAACCTATTAAAAGATTTAAAAATATGACGCCTGTGACCTTGAATGTTGAACAAGGACATTAGGTTGAAAGTGGGTCAAGGTAATTTATTTTAACAAACTTTGTAGTCCTTCATCCCAGCATGCTACAGGCCCAATTTCAGTACCCTTGGCCATTTGTTTATTGAGAAGAAGTCGTTTGAAGTTTTTACGACATTTGACCCATGTGACCTTGAAATTGGGTCAAGGTCATTCATTTAAACAAACCCGGTAGCCCTTCAACCCAGCATGCTACTGGCCAAATATCATCAGCCTGGGCTTCTTGGTTATTCAGAAGAAGTTGTTTAAATTTTAAAGTTGACGCCGGACGGACGATGGACGCCGCACCATGCCATAAGCTCACATGTAGTAAACCATTGCAGCAAGCTATTGGCCAAACATCTTGACCCTTGGACTTTCGGTTCCTGAAATGAAGTCAATGGAACATACGACATTTGATATATATGTCTAGGCCATTTTTTGGTTCTTTGTGAGATGTTAAGCATTTCAACATTTCTTTTTCGTTAAGGCCTTCAATATTGATCAGTGTTATCTCTTCAGGTGACCAGGACCTATCTTCAAGGTCACAGGGTCAAGTTTGTTGAAACTCTTCTTCTAAAAAGCTGAAATGTCTTGAGGCAAAATATTTGTCTTCAAACAGAACTCAAACCCAGCATATTCAAGCCTTCTATCATTTATCTGTAGTTATCATATTGATGGAGGTTCTTCTATATGTTTTACCCATGTGACCTTAAAAGTGGTAGGTTTAGGTCATAATGTTCGCCCACCCTTCACAGGTGTATCTCCATTTTAAGCCGGAAAAGATCATGCTAAGATCCCCTAGAGAGAGATAATCTTGTGCTGGAACAAGAGGCCCAATGGGCCTGAATCGCTCACCTGGTATTAATATCACTTGTAATCTTAAAAGTGGACTTAAATGCAGCTACAGGCAGAATATAAGTGTTTGATTCATAAGAACCTATTAAAAGATTTAAACATATGACTCCTGTGATCTTGAATATTGAGCAAGGACATTAAGTTGAACAGAGTGTATAGTCTTCCAACCAAGCATGATTCTGGCATTATCCTGCACCTTTTTGTTATACAGAACAAGTCATTTAAAGATTTAAACATATATTGACCACTGGCTGAAGGTCATACATTTGAACATAGTCCTTTTATCTAAGCATGTTACTGGCCAAATATCATCACCCTTGGCCTTTTGCTTTAGAAAAAAACAACTTTTAAATGTTTTAAACATATTTGAACCATGTGACCTTGAATATTTGTCAAGGTCATTGATTTGAACAAACTTGGTATCCCTTCATCCAAGCATGCTACTGGCCAAATATCATTATCCTAGGTGTCTTGGTTATTCAGAAGTTGTTTAAAGGTTTTAAACATATTTGACCTCTATGACCTTGGATATATGTCAAGGTCCTTCATATAAACAAACTTGAAAGCCCTTCATCCCAGCATGTTACTGGCCAAATATCATTGTCCTAGGCCTCTTCATTATTAACATATTTGACCCCTGTGACCTTGAATATAAGTCAAGGCAATTCAATTGAACAACTTTGGAGCCCTTTATTCCAGCATGCTACTGGCTAAATATCATTATTCTATGCCTCTTGGTTATTCAGAAGAAGTTGTTTAAAGGTTTTAAATATATTTGACCCCTGTGAACTTGAATATAGGTCAAGGTCCTTTGTTTGAACAAACTTGGTAGCCCTTTATTCCAGCATATTACTTGCCAAATAACATTATCCTAGGCTTCTCGGTTATTCAGTAGAGGCTGTTTAAAGGTTTTAAACATATTTGACCCCTGTGACCTTGACTATCAGTCAAGGTCATTCTTTTGAACAAACTTGGTAGCCCTTTATTCCAGCATGTTACTGGCCAAATATCATTATCTTAGGCCTCTTGGTTATTCAGAAGTTGTTTAAAGGTTTTAAACATATTTGAACCATGTGACCTTGAATATCGGTCAAGGTCATTTGTTTGAACAAACTTGGTAGCCCTTTATTCCAGCATATTACTGGCGAAATATCATTATCTAAGGCCTCTTGGTTATTCAGAAGAAGTTATTTAAAGGTTTTAAACATATATGACCCATGTGACCTTGAATATAAGTCAAGGTCATTCATTTGAACAAACTTGGTAGCCATTCACCCAGTTTGCTTCTGGCCAAATGTAAAAGGACGAAGGCAGGATGAGCTCAAAACATGCAATTAACGCTTACATTTTTCCAAAATTTGCAAATTGCAGAAAATATGATCAGTAGCGTTAGCAGAGATGATATTTGGCAAGTAGCCCAACAAAGTTTGTGAATGAAGTGACCTTGATCTATATTCAAAGTCACAGGGGTCAAATACAAATACTACTTCTTCTGAAGATCTGAAAGGCCTATGTCATGATATTTGGCCAGTAGCATTTTCTGATGGAGTCTGACAAAGTTTGCGAATGAAAACGACATTGACCTATACTTTCAAAGTCATATGTCAGTCATTGGAGACCATCCTTATATGACCTTAGCTGTTGCTAAAACGATAAACAAATAACAACAATCAAAACCCTTCAACACTCATTCTGAATATCCGAAACTTGTCAAGTCCTGCTCCTATTCCACAACCAGCATCCTGTGTTTGAGTTCAACAACATTAGCACATGAATATGCCTTTGCCCTATGTATACTTTTAAGGTCCACAAGGGTCAAATAACTGTAAACCTTCAACAGCTTCTGAATCAATCAAATTTCACAATATTTAGCCAACATGTAACAAAACAAACAGGTGAGCGATACAGGCCCTTCTGGGCTTCTTGTTTTTATCTGATTTACTATTCCATAAGAAATCATAATGTTCAGCATTTGATTTTTATTAATAAAGGACTTCTTCTGGGTTTGGTTAAGAAATAAAAAGTTGATTCAGTTGTGCTATATGAAGGGACTTTATAATTTGTATTCGTCTTAAAGATTTTAAAATCCTTCTGTTCCATATATCAAAGTTAAGTTTTTTGGAACTTTGTGCAGGATAACAGTAAATCTGATACCTACAACTGCAAATTTTGTATCTCCTTATAGTAAGTTCCACTCTAGAAAGTATGTATCATTACTATATATTACTAGCCAGTCAGCCAGCTTGTGACCATTTTAATTAGATAGAATGATCTAATGTTAATCTGAAGGGAAACTTGAACCATATTAATGATAAAATATGGCCTGT